ATATCGAAAGAAAAGTGAAGAATTTTAAAAATTATAATTATAAAATATTTAAAAATTATAAGAATTACAAATCACGAATTTAAGAAACGAAAAATTGAGGGATCGAGAAACTGAAAAATCCAAAATTTAAAACCGAAAAATTGCAAATCTAAAAATTGAAAAATTTCACATTCAAAAAAGAAAAATTATAAAATAACATTGAAAAATGGAAAAATTGAAAAAATAAGGAAAACAAGAATCTCAATCGAATAATTGGAAAATCTAAAAAATGAAAATTTGAAGAGTTGCATGACGTAAAAATGAAGAAACAAAAAGTTATAAAATCAGAACATTGATAAGTCGAAAAATTGTAAAAATATAGAAAATAGAAAACCGAAACGAAAAATTACAAATCGCATATCTGAAGAAACTGAAAATTTAGGAATCGAAAAACTGAAAAAGTTACAAAATCCAGTAAGTGAAAAATGAAAAAAATTAAAAAATTATAACAATGAAGAAGTAAAAAACCGAAACGAAAAATCGCATCTCGAAAAATTGAAGAAACGAAAAATCGAAAAATTAGAAATTTAAATTTCCTGAAATTACAGATCGAAAAATTTAGAAATGAAAACTCAAAACATGCCGTAACATTGAAGAAACAAAAAAAAATTAAAATTGCAAATAGAAAAATTGAAGACATTATAAAACTAATAAAGTATAAAATCGGAACATTGAAAAATTAAAAATTTGAAGAAATGAAAAATTAAAAATTCGAAAAATGGAAAAATTAAAAATCGAAAAATTGAAAATATTGTCATTATTATTATTACATGTTTAAAATGAAAACTAGAAAAATTGCAAATGAAAAATTGCAAATGAAAAATTGAAGAAACGAAAAATTGAAAACTCAAAAATTGCAAATCGAAAAATAGAAGACGTGAAAAATTCAAAAATCGAAAAATTGAAAACTCGTGAAATTGAAAAATCTGAAATATCCAAAAGTTGGAAAAAAACAAAAAATTGAAAAAACTGAAAAGTGAAAAAAAATAAAGTCGGAACATTGAAAATTCGAAAATTTGTGAAAATAACAAATCTAAACGAAAAATTGCAAATTCTAAAAATTGAAGGAACAAAAAATGAAGAATTGGAAAATAGCGAATCGAAAAGCTGAACAAATCAAAGTTGAAAAACAAAATGTTAAAAAAACGAAACATTGAAAAATCAAATACATAATAGAAAAAATAAAAACCAGAAAGAAAATTTTCAAATCGAAAAATTGAAGAAACGAAAAATTAAATAACCATGAAACTGAAAAACCAAAAGGTAATTGAAAACACGAAAAATTAATAAATCTAAATGTTGAAGAAACAGAAAATTGAAAACCCAAAAATTGCGAATTGAAAAATATCAAACCGAAAAATAGAAGACGTGAAAAATTAAAAATTGGAAACTCCTGAAATTGCAAAATCTGAAATATCCAAAAGTTGTAAAATTGATAATCGAAAAACTGAAAAAGAAAACTCGAATAATTGCATATCGTAAATTTTGAAGAAACAAAAAAAAATGAAGAATCGAAAAATTGCAAATCGGAAAATTGAAGAAACAAACAATTGAAAAAACTGAAAGTGTAAAAAAATTATAAAGTCGGAACATTGAAAATTCGAAAATTTGGTACAATAAGAAACCGAAACGAAAAATTGAAGAAACAAAAAAATGAAAAATTGAAAAATAGCAAATCGAAAAACTGAAGAGACGAAAAACTGAACAAATCAAAATTGAAAAAACAAAATCGTAAAAAAAGCGAAACATTGAAAAATCAAATAATTGAAAAAATCAAGAAAATAAAAAACCAAAACGAAAATTTGTAAATCGAAAAATTGAAAACTTGAGAAACCCAAACCAAAAACTTGCAAAATCTAAAATTTGTAAAATTCAAAGGTTAGAGAAACTTAAAAATTCAACTCAAAATGTCTGCGAAAGTGTTATTTACGCCATCAGTTTTTACTTCTAAAGTTTATCAAAAAACAAAAATTGCAACAAAAAAATATAATTTTTCAAAAAAGCGGGATTTATTGGTCTGCACTTCAGAAGCGAGAGAAGTTCTCTCGAAATAAACTTCGACCAATTTTTTTTAATTTTTCGATAGCTCTTATCAATAATCGAGCATCTCCCTAATCCGCGTCTCTTATCTGAACAAAAGTCAACGTTATCTCCTATTGTGTCTAAAATAGCCTCCGAAGAATCTCGTTCTCGTAAAAACCCGATGTGTGTCACCGTCACAAACAAAAACGGAATACCATTAGAAACCGAAAGTGAACCAACAGCAACGTTACAGGTTATTCTACCTATAATCTGTTTACACTCCATTAATGTAACGGCATTCCTTTTTTTATCAATAGAATTATTTAAGAGATGATCTAAGTTGAATGAATTTTGTTTTGGTAATTAAATAAGTGAATAGTAGGTTACGTGGTTGACTGGTGCCATTGCGTAACGGAACAATGTGGTCGACCTTTCACTTTCATCCTCATCTTTATGTTTGCGTCGTCCGTACCTGCTCAAAACACCGTTTCGTTTCATCACATTTTCACCTTTTTTGCATTTTTCGGATGACGACGCGTCGACAATAACACCGCTTTTCTGGTGTTCTTGACACCTGCTAGGGTCAGTGTCGGCCCAAATGAACCCCTAATCGGATTTTAATCCCGCATTCAAATGTAAATGCAGAACAACTCAGCATGAAGAATCCATGTCTAGGTCAATGAATGTTTCGGATTTGCACATGTCCAAATAGCATGACAGCGAATTCGTTACGACGCTTTGTATGCCAGAATTGACGAATTCTTTGGCACCCGGATCGGTAACATAAAACTTGACCAAACCATTTTTACCCGTTGCGCAATCGACGATTTCGGCTGTAAATTTCGGGGAATTAAACGGGAGTTGCAAAGCCCAACGGAAGCGCGAAAATGGAGGGATCGACTAAATTCTACCGTAATTTTCCAATAGCGACGAGCTGCTAGAAAAAATACAAAGCGATATTGAAGTGATAGTGATCGTCAACTATTTTCTATTTTTATGCTGTTGCTTGTAGTGTAACTACTTTTTTGTTCAGTATAAGCTTGTTACTACATGCATAAACGCGCAGGATATAATTGGGCTCGTGTGCACCGATCAAACCTGCCACTGCATGATAAAGGTGCTTTGTTATCTTTGAATAAATACACCACACACGAATTTACGGTATTGTAGTGAACATGTGCACCTCGTTGCTGAAGCATTGGAATGCGGTAAAGTCTTGACTTTTAGTAATAATAGTAATAATAAATAATAATTTTTCGTGGATAGCTGTAAGTCGTTTACATAAATTATCGAAGAATCGATCCCTAATTATTACTTACGAATTGTATTGTGTCTTCTCATCGGTACACTGTTTTCGCACGTAATTAGCAGTCTTTGAGACCTGCCGGATACTAAGTTATGAAATCGAGCCACTCCACGACTACCAATACTACACAATTTAGACAAAAGAACGTCGTGCTTTAAGCTATCAAACGCCTTAGTCGCGTCGTGGTACATTCCGACGGGTAATAATTTAATCAAGTGATTTATAAATTGTAGTTTGCGTTGGCCGACCTTTTACAAAATCATATTGATAATTTGCCAGTAAGTTGCACTAGTTTACAAATTTCAATCAAATATTATCCCCAGAGATGAAAATAACATTTCTATAGATTTTTTGACCTGCGGAGTTCAAATTCATTAACCAAAGAATTCCGTCACGTGCTGCTATGAGTTAAAATAGTACACTGGCTGTCAGAGAATTGAATGAAACGAATTTCAGTTCCATGAATAACAAGCAACGTTTCATAACTCCTAGAATACGAAAACATAGGTTTCTCGTTTTCGTCTTGCTTGTTGGCGGTCTGCCATTACAAGCGCATTGATTTTCGCCCTAAAAATACTTTTATAGCTAAGTATGTTATTACTATAACTTAAAAGGGTTGTCAATTCGCTGCTGCAGGGGCGAGGGAACATTTTTTTCCCTAAATTTTCATTCATGCTTTGGGCATCGTAAGCATGAGATTCCTAATTTCAAGTAGAGTACGTTCTAGCGTTCTTAATGAGGGTTAACTTTTCTAATTACGTTACGTCGAAACGGGAGCCTAGAACTCCGCCACATTCTTCGGGGACCCCATACGAATAAATCAGTGGAGGGCGTAAACGCGTTAACGTGTTTTATCGAATCCCAGGATTACACCCTAACCCGGTTCTTGTTGCCTCCGATGATCTCCGTGTTCACTACTCATGACCGGGATTCAGTAGCGGCCATCAATAGTTCCAAGCCAATTCCGCCATTTCGCAGCACGCATTATGCAGTCGTGTATGCTCTAGTTGATCGTAACGTAGAGATTCCTTAGCGCTAAGGGTTAGTTTTGGCCCACTTTCTAAGTCCGCAGACGTTTCGCCATGTTTTCACCGCAATAGTTAACCAATCCGTTCGTAATTCATGCGACCTTGTTGCGATCGTTCGAGTATCCATCTCGTCTTTTGAATAAGAGACGCCGTCGCGACTTGTTGCGTTTATTTTGCGAGCATCCGTAGGGGTCCGACTCCAGTAATGATGGCGTCGTGACGTGAACGACGGCGTGCATTCCCACAATCGATAGCCGTGTTTGGGGCCCGGGGTTCCTTAGACGTAGGCGTCGTTCATCTGCACCATGCGCCCACGCCATCCATTCAAACCGCCCACGAGAGTACTATGACGTCACTCGGTTGTGCGGCGCCACCCCTCTCACCCCTTTCGTCATCCCGCAGTCTCCGAGTTCTGTTACCTAGCAACTGGTGATCTGCAGCATCGTGCACTAGATCGCAGAACAATCGCCGACACGCTTCCAGAGAGTTCGGAACGCGCGAAATGACCGCCCCCGTCGTCGACGACGCCTCCGGAAGCCGGACGGAAGGGGTGGGACTCCGATTGTTGTAATTAGGGTAGCTAACGTTGTTTGTTTTTGTTACAGTGCAGCACACCAGACGAGTACGGTGACTGCATGGCAGACGTGAACTACTTCCTCGAGATGGAGGAGAGGATGAAGAACAACAACAGCGGCGTCGGGGACGTGAAGAACATAGAATCTCAGCAGCGACTCGCGGTGCTCAGCTTCGAACAGGTCTGTCGCCTGAACGACGTCATGGACGAGGTGGTGAGCATCCACGGCCGCGGCAACTTCCCGACGCTCGAGGTCCGTCTGAGGGATTTGGTGAACGTCGTCCGCAAGAAGCTGGAGAGCGACCCGGCCTCCGGGGGAGCGGGAATGCGGGTCCGCGATATCCGCCTCAACGGCGGCGCCGCGTCCCACGTCCTGGCCACCGAGTCCCAGCCATACAACGACCTGGATCTCATCTTCGGCGTGGAGTTGTCCAACATGCGCAACTTCGACCGGGTCAAGTCCGCCGTACTCAGTTCTCTCTACGAAATGTTACCTGATGGCGTCAGCCGCAAACGCATGTCCACATGCAGTCTCAAGGAAGCTTACGTAAGCAAGATGGTGAAAGTGAATAGTAGTAATAACGATGGTGATCGCTGGTCCCTCATCTCCCTCGGTAATTCCCGCGGTCGCGGCGTCGAGCTGAAGTTCGTCGACAGCATGCGGCGGCAGTTCGAGTTCTCGGTGGACTCTTTTCAAATCATCCTGGACTCTCTTTTGCTCTTTTACGAATGCAGCGAGCTTCCGATCAGCGAGAATTTCTACCCGACCGTGGTGGGGGAGTCCTTCTACGGCGACTTCCAGGAAGCCCTGTACCATTTACACAAGAAGCTGATCTCAACGAGACACCCCGAGGAAATCCGCGGCGGCGGTCTGCTCAAGTATTGCAATTTGCTAGTCAAAAACTACAAACCCGCGAATCCGGACCACATCAAGAGCCTCCAGAAGTACATGTGCTCGCGATTCTTCATCGACTTCCCCGACATCAACCAGCAGAGAGGCAAGCTGGAGAATTACCTGTGGAATCACTTCGTGGAGCCCGAGGAGGAGGCCCTCAAACACCAGTACCTGATGCTTTTGCACGACGTCGTGGAGGAGTCCACCGTCTGCTTGATGGGGCACGAGCGGCGGCAGACCCTCCAGCTGATAAAGAGCCTCGCTTGGCAGGTCCTCTACCAGGACCAGCAGCGCATAATGACCCAGCAGCCGCCGCCCCTCATGTACGCCAACGGCATCGTCTACGCTCCCATCATCCAGACAAGTTGCTACTGTACGTGTAACACTTGGATGTCGTGCTGTTCGTCGTGATGTGTATAAGTCTGTGCGAGTCGTATGAAAGCGGGACCACCAGCATCTTGTCTATAAATTGTGTAGATTTGGTAGCTGTTGTGCGCCGCGCAAAGACTTTGACAAAATGGTTCCAATCTCGTACAGACACGAAATTACCGACTGAGGTTCCCGTTTTCGGAGCCCGTATAATAAACTCTCTGAATGCAGGCTAGACGCGTCGTCTCTAAACTCTACGAAACCATTCCGAAATTTTACACACATTGCTATTATTTGTTGATTTTGTTGCAACATGAGGCTGAAAGTTCTTTAAAAACATGTTGACGCATCGTTGGTGTGTGGCTGTGAGAAACACATTTATAATTGGGTTGTGTACATGGAGATTTAGCGATTGGAGCGTATTTCTCGAGAGATGCAGCAGCCTGAAGCGTCCGATACGTCGCTCAATTTTACTCAATATTGTAAGTCAGAAGGACCCTCTCGGGCTCTCCACCGCCACTCCTAGACCTCTCTTCCTGTTCTGGAACTTTGCCGTAATGCATTTTATACGCATACTATATACGTACATATGAATTTTAGCATATTTGTACTTTAATCACCGACTCTTCTTGTTTGTACACTTTACTTGATGCTTTAAAGAGAACCGTTTATTTATTTTAAGTTTTATCAGAGCAGTGTTATGTTACGTCATTTATTCCCCTACATTATTGTACTTTACATACTTATTATATTTTAATAGTGTATTGATGTTTAAGTATTGCATCGACATTGGGCCTCTTATTTATTGTGTATTTTAATTTGTTTGATGGTTAAAAGTGACCTTCAGGCTGCATACATACATATTATATTTTTTTAGAAATGCTGCAATCAGTGCAAACGTCGCCCGGTCGCAATAAGTATTAAAATGTACATATTGTAATATACAAGTCATAACTTCATATTAAGTGAATATTTTCAGAAATATGTATGTAGTTTGTCACAAGTAAAATTAGCAAATGTATGGATAGATAAATCAGATTTTTATTTTTTAGATATTTTAGAGAAAATTAAATACTTAAAAAAAAGTTACACTGAGCGTTAAATTAAAACAAACAAAAAAAAAACACGTATACGTGATCAGGCCTAATTTAATCGTGTAACGAGCCAGCTCAGTCTGACTATCTATAGTTAATCATAGACTGCTCGGTGACCTCTTCAATATGCCTACGAGTACTTATGTCGCGAGGGTGACTGACTGAAAAATTACATACATAACAATATTGGATCCCTAGGATTCGTTTTAAGCTATCGTCTATCATAAAAATTACAAAAAAAAAAACAAAATGTCTATTTTGATTGAAATGTATGTATGTTATTATGGGCTTAATTGTATATTTTTATTGTTCCATAGGCCCAGTAAGAATAAACTAAGGAAAATGTAAAAACCCAATAAAAATCAATAAAATGTGTAAACATTTCTGAAATCACCACCGTACTTTATTTATTCATCCCGCATTCCCCTCCTAGAAAAAGAAAGCTCGTAAAAAGAAATCCGTTGAACTTCTGAAGGAACGCCATAAGTTTACATTGCATACATAGCGCAACGTGACATCCGCATATCCTCGTGACGTCCATCGTAGGGGAACTCCGGCAACATTAGAAAAGTTCCGTTGCCCCACGCCGGTCTAGACTGCCATGGTGCCATGGCGGATCGACAGTAACCTACTTTATCGGCAGTACTTTTACTTGCCACAAGGCCGTCCTTGCCTCGTCCTGAATAACTGAAAACTGCTCAACGTTCAAATAGATTGTTGCATGGATATCGCACCGGATAATTCGCCTGATTACACCCATTTCGGCCGTCGACAATCCAAACAGCAATTAAATAACTCCGCCGTGTATTCCACTTGCAGATAGAAACCGGCGCACCGGATGCTCTCCATTAATTAAACATCTCTAATTAATACCGGACTCGAATTTCGTCTCACGGTTTAACTGCCCCAATTAGATACCCGCGACGAAATTAAGACTCGCTGCTGAATTTTGAACAGATTAATATTTCAAAAGGTAAAGTTTGCGGTAAAGTTCGGGGGATTTCTAGACGGCACTGGGACGTTTAGCATGAAACGCAGTTATACGGTATTGTGTAAGATGAGATTATAATACGGAAGGCTACAACTACAACAGTTTTGGCATCGACCACTAGTGAAAGTACAAAACACCGAGCCGCAATTACAGAGTAATGTAAAACGTCCATCAATGCGCGCTTATTTCACATACACAATTCTTCAAACGCGCAGGAATGTGAGAGTCACTTTATTATTGGAGATTTCGCATGGTTGCGACATCGCAAAGCGTCTTCCTCCTAGGGAGGGCGAAGCTGTGATGTAAATCGAACCCTAAGGTGAAAAAATCAAAATATGGAACTGCTGTTGTAGCGGTGCTAATCGATTTTACGCCTAATTTCGTGCGGTTTCTTCTCTTCCTAGTATCATTATTAAATTAATTAATAAACACACAAAAAGTAAGTGTAAAGAATGCAAAAAGACAAGCTGAGCAACGGTAAAACGAGTTTTATATTTATTACTTGCAGTAACAGTGTTGCCACTCATTTCGTGTTTTTTGCTTTATAATAATTGTCAAAATTTCCTTGTAACTTATTGTACAAAAACAGGGGAAAAACAAGTCAAGTTTGATTCATTTGTCTGAAAAGTTTTATAACTTAATAGCTTCTATTCTTTGTAAAAAAGTAGATAAAAGCGTTATCACGGATTTTCTGGTATCACAATAGATCTATTTATAAGCTGCTAAAGTTCCTATATGTAGTCGGATTTTTGCACAAACGTGCCGGGACGCTGTAAATGTGCATATGTCAATATGCATTTGTACAAACAAGCTTTACACAACTCTTTAAACGATGTTTTGTGTGTTTAGACAGACATCACTTTGTTCCGCTATCCTCTAATAAATCTTCCTAGACTCATTTTGGAGTTAACTAAACCTAAAACCGATATTTTTTGTTTTTATTAAGAACTATGTTAGTTATCAGAAAATTAATTGCATTTGATCATAAATGTCCGAGAAGGCGGAAGAGTGGAAACTACATTAAAATTTGTGTTGTACGGGTGGGAGTTACGAAGGAATCTGCTAGAAGGTTGGTATGTAATCGTTTGTCATTATCATTAATGACAAAATGACAAATCTGAACAAGCAAATGTAATTCGTTTTAATTAATTCTGAGTTGTAAGACAATCTATAGTTGCAGTTAATAGTTTAATGCTTCTTTCTGTATAATTTCCTTTTTATATTGAAGATTTTTGTCGTTAATAAGTTTTTGTGTCGATTTAAAAATAGTTAAAGGTCATTTTCGCTCAAATCGCAAATTATCGTTCCTGTTAAGTTCTTTTGTAGTTTTACGACAGGTTGTTCACTTTTCGACACTCGTACCTGTATGCTGGTGTCACAGTTCTTTAATTGACCCGTATCGTGGAAGATCGTAAACTTTCGATTAGAGCTTTCGGTTCAATCAGATCTATTCATTATACTTCTTTAAAAAATTGTAACTTTGATTTTGCAATTTTCGTGTTTGTGATAATCTGTATAAAGTAAAAATTAGAGGAATAAATAACACCAAAAATTTGCGCTCCCAAGTACAGACAACGTAAAATATATAACTTTAGTTCAAGTGTTTATGTTTATACATCGAAAGAATGTCACGTAGAAATTAGTTTGATTTGAATGAGTTTCGTCTCCTCAAAACGGACTAAATTTATTAAGTAAGCCACAATCCAACAGAATGTCCTGAATATTATAATTCTTAATTTAGCATTATTAAATAAAGACATTTTCGAAAAAATGCGGTGCCCCCTTCTTGATCAATAAAAAATTGGTGATGAGGTTATCAACATTGGTAATACTAATCATAGCACAAAAGAAAAAAATGAAATGCTATCACACTGTCTTAATTTTTTTGCGAAAATTTGTACGTTTAGAGAAATAACTCAAGCATAATTGTTGTATAACATTTAAATCTGTTGGTGAAGATGATTAGCCAAATTTTGGTTAGTCTTTAACCATCTACACGATACTTCTAATACATATACACAACAACAATGGGTCCAGTAGTTTTGCAGATTACGTGTTTAATAAAAATCGACACAGGCGCCAGACAAACGGAAACGAGAAATCACTTTTTCGTACTCTAGGGGTCATGAATCGTCGAGAAAAATGAAACTGGCAAGTCGTCCGATGCACTCAATTACTATACTTCCTTGGCTTGCGAACTGTGATTTGTGATAACTTCAATACATTGAAACAAATATAAATAAGTAATACCACCAGTAACAGTGTAGGAAGCTACAAACAATTTAAAAGAATTTCGGGGACCACTTTTGTTTTTGAAGTAGTTTAAAAGAATGTCGGGGACCTCTTTTTTTAGTTTTTGAAGTAGTTTGAAAGAATCTCGAAGACCCATTTTGTTCTCTTTTTGAAATAATTTGAAAGGATCTCGGGGACCATTTTTGTCTGGTATTGAAAGAATCACGGGAAACCCCTTTTGATGTGGTTTTGAAGTAGGGTGAAAGAATCTCAGGGACTCCTTTTGTTTTGGTTTTGAAATAGTTTGGAAGAATTTTGGAGTCCCTTATATCTGGTTTTTGAAGTGATTTAAAAGAATGTCGGAATTCTTTATGTCTGATTTTTGTAGTAATTTAATTCTCGGTAATCTTTCAATGTATTGTTATTGAAGCAATTTGAAAGATTCTCTGGGAGCCTTTTGTTCTCTTTTTGATTTTTTTTTAAACCATGAAGAATGTCGAGGATTCCTTGTGTCTAGTTTTTGAAGCAGTTTAAAGGATTCTCGGGGAGCTTTTGTATCTAATTTTTTTAAGTGGTTTGAAAGATTCTCAATTCCCCAATCTTGGAGATCCCGTGTTTTGTTTTTGAAGTATTTTGATTCGCGGGAAGCCTCTGTAGTTAAAGTTTTTGTAGTAGTGTCAAAGAATTTGCGGACCCCTTTGGTTTCGTTTTCGTAGTCATTAGAACGAACCCAAAATCCGAGTTTAGTTTTTGAAGTAGTTTAAAAGAATTTCTGAGATCCCTTGTCTTGTTTTTGAAGTAATTAAAAAGAATCTCCCAGATCATTGAAGGAATCTCAGGGAATCTTTTTGATTTGTTTTTGAAGTAGTTGAAAGAATCTTAGGGATCCCCTGTGGGTCTTATTTTTGAAGTGCTTTGAAGGAATCTCGGGGACTCGTTTTATTTGGTTTTCAAGCACTTTGAAACAATCTTAGAGATCCCTTATCCCCGATTTTTTAATAATAATAATAACAGATCATAACTCCACTTATAAGATAAAAAAAAAACATATAAATAAATATATAAAAATTAAACTTACATATTATATAATAAAAACAAAGTAAACCTAGCCTACATACTTGCGTAATTTTTGAAGCAGTTGAAAGCCTTCGAGGACCCCTTTTGTTTTATTTTTGAGGTAGTTTGAATGAATTTCGGAGATCCCTTTTCTTGTTTTTGAAGTAATTAGAAAGATTCTCGAGGACTCTATGTGTCTAGTTTTTGAAATACATAGTTTGAATGAACTTGAGAATCCCTTACGTCAAGTGTTTAGACTATTTTGAAACAATCTTGGGAACCTGTTGTGTCTGCTTTTTGAAATAATTTGAAAGAATGTCAGGGACTCTTTGTGTCTGGTTTTTGAAGTAGCTTGTCAGAATCTCTGGGACCACTTTGGTCTTATTTTTGAAGTAAATAATTTGAAAGAATCTCGGGGAATCCTTTTTGATTTGGTTTTGAGATAGTTTGGATCTCGGAATCCTTTGTGTCTGGGTTTTGAAGTAGTTTAAAAGATTCTCGAGGATCAATTTTGTTTTGTTTTTGAAGTAGTTGAAAGAATCTCGAGAACCCCTTGTGTATAGTTTTTGAAGTAATTTAAAAGGATCATGGGGAACATCTTTTATTTGTTTTTTTTTTTTGAAGTAGTTTAAAAAATCTTGGGGATCCTGTGTGCCCGGTTTTTGACGTAGTTTGAAAGAATCTCTGAAAACCTTTTGTTTGTTTAGAATTAGTTTGAAAAATTCTCCGCAACTCCTTTTATTTTGTTTTTGAAGTAATGTAAAAGAATCTTGGAGATCTTTTGTCCACGATTTTTGAAATAGTTTGAACGAATCTTGGGGATCTCTTGTGCTTAATTTTTTAAGTAGTTTAAAAGAATCCCGAGAACCTGTTGTCTGGTTTTTTAAGTAGTTTGAAAGATTCTCGGGGACTCCTTTTATTTTGTTTTTCAAGCGGTTTGAAAGAATCCTAGGGATCCCTTATCACCGATTTTTAATAATAATAATAATAATGTATTTATTGATTAACAGAACATAATTCCACTTATAAGACAATCAAAAAATATATCAATAAACATATAAAAATTAAATTTATTATATATCAAATTATCAAAAGCAAAGCAAACCAACCCTTG